TCACAAACAGAACTGCCCGGTAAACCGTAGGCAGAGAGAGAGAAGAAGACAACAAACGAGGGGCTGTGACAAACTGTTTCGTCGGAGTTTCACCGACTCATCATATATCGTCACAAACAGAACTGCCCGGTAAATACGTATCTGTTTGACGATATATATATTAAAATAAAAATAAAAAAGACAAGGGAAGGAGGGAGGAAAAAAAAGGGAGGGGGCGGGGGAGGGAATCGGCAAATGGCGCCGAATTGTCGGCCGGTCGGAGACAAACGAAATCGCGCCTGACAACCGGTCGCTCAACTAGCCGGCCGGCGGATGTAGCTCGACCCGACCCTGAATCCTCAACCAGAAACCGGTCGTTCGGCTGGTCGCTCAATTCGTTGCTCCTTTAAGTTAGTCAATCGGTCGCCGCCCACTGTCACTCTGGTCGCCCACGAAAGTATAGGCTATTGTTGGAGGTGAGCTACGAACCCGCCGGATTGACAATCTACGCTCGTCGGGCGGACGTGTTTGCCGATCAACCCTCTTTGTCGGGATCCCGACAAAGAATTCACGAGACGCCCCCTTCTTTCCCTATCCCTATATCTCTATCTCAATCCCGGTCAAAAAAATAAGGAGTAAGCCAAATCAATCAATAACTTCAATAACTTTAAAAAAAAAAAAAAAATGCAGATATATCTAACTCACTGATGACTACTAGCTACCGCGCTAACGGTGATAACCTGCACGCCGGCGCTAACGGCGACAAACGGCCAGCCTCAGCCTGCCGTTAGGACGAACCAACAGAGAGCGCCACACATAAGAGCGAAGCTGCGTGGGCGAAGACGGGCCTCCTAAGCAAAGCATCCCGATCCCGACTGGAGGATAAAGGGTAGGTAAGAAGAGGAGGAGAAGGAGGAAGAGGACGAAGAGGAGAAGGAGAGGGCGAAGAGGAGGAGGGGAGGACGACGAAGAGTAGGAGGAGGAGGAGGAGGAGGAAGCGGAAGAGGAAGAGGAGAGGAGAGAGGAGAATCCTGCAGAGCGGGAGCCTGATGGCAGAGGTTTCGTCGTCTTACCGTTAGTACCTTGAATCTAAAGGAGGAGGAGGACGAGGAGGACGAGGAGGAGGAGGAGGAGCAAGAGGAGGAAGACGATGCCGACGAAGAGGAAGAGGAAGAGGAAGAAGAAGCTCAGACGAAACTCCACATTCACAAAGGATGCTTGAAACGACAGCTATGATTAGTTAGACATCTTCCTTTATGATGAACACTGGACGGTTCAGCCCACGCAAAGCCAATTAATGGTCTCTGTCTTCTGATTGGATGGCTATGGAGATCGTGACACGTGGAGAGCCACCTTCGGCTTTGTCCACAGATAAGGACTACGCAACAGCAGGAAAGGATGAATGATCGACTGATTGATGTGATTGATGTGATTGACGTGATTGATTGGTTGGTTCACTGCTTGGTAAATGGACCGCAGAGAGAATCAATCGTCGGGTCGTTGCTTGATTGATTGCACTCGAGATGGGCGACTGATTAGTTCATTAACTGTCTGTCATATACCGAGGAAAACGACAAAACGAGCCCATCCAATCACTCGTTAGTGTAATCAAGTTGAGCAGAAGTACCACTACCACCTCGTCTCATTACCAGCATTACTAATCCCTTTTTTTTTTTTAATTACTAATTACTAACTAATTACTAATTAATTAAAGATTCATAACGGGGAAAGGAAAAGATCAGTTTTCTTCCCGCTAACAGCTACAATCCGACCCCTACCAGTAGTCAAGGGCCTCGCTCCACTACTCTCGAAATGTGCAAAACGAGAGTGAATCTTCCGCTAGAACATGGAAAGATACACGGCCCTCATTTCATTAGTTTTGTCTTTTTCTTTATATGTCGAGAGAGTAGTGGAGCGAGGCCCCAAATCGACTCTCGCTGTTCCCGTTACAAACGATCTTCTCAGCTGAACAACCCCAACCCCCCTCCCCCCCCCCCCCCCCCCCCCCCCCCCAGAAAGAAAAAGGGGGAAAAAAAGAAGAAAGGCAGGGCCCAAGCGGCCGATGAGTTTCGGGGCAATCTCTTTCTCTTTGTCCTTTTCTCTTCTCTCCTACCCTATTATTACCCCTAAGCCTATAGAGGGGTACAGGGGGCCCCTGCAAGCATGGCTTGGCTACTCTCACATGACAACCAAGGCAATGAATTTCCGTCGTGACCCTCAATCCTCAACCAGAGACCGGTCGTTCGGCTGGTCGCTCAGCCCGTTAGCTGGGGACGCTTTGTCTGCCGGGATACCTCTTGGAGACGCCAGGTCCCATCATGGTCCCAGTCGCAGTCTGCATCACGAGCGTAGCCGCGATCTGCTGCCACGTGGCTTCATCTTTTCCCGTCGAGATTTACGACCATCAATCAACGGTTATAAGGGCCAGATCCCACTAACCCCTATTGTTCATTTGTGAGTTGATCTTCGTAGTCGAGGGTGAAAAATGAATAATCCAGGGTAGTGGGATCTGAGCCTAAACGACGAAAGAACTCCGACGCCCCGCTGCCCCTGCCCCCTCTTGCGGAGGCCTCAGCCGTGAGATTTTCAGATCGGATGGCACAGACCTAACGTGGATACTTGAAACGAGAACGAGAAATACCCGTCTTCCACCGAACACAACGCACCCTAATTATGACTGCATCGAACTGCAAAGATTGCTTGTGTACATTAACAGTGAGGGTGCGTTGTGTTTGGGCGAAGACTCTGAACCTCCTCAAGCAGGGCACGAAGCCCCGGGGCAAGGTCCCACTTGCACGAATTAAGAGATACTGACCGTAGATAGCAAAGATCAACGGCCCAAATCTCCTATCCCCACATCCGGAACCCTCTCTTCCAGACAAATCACACAAGATCTACGTGGAGGAAAGAAACAGGAAAAAAATTTGGACCATTTCTCGATTTATGCGTGTCATCCTTGCGCAGGGGCCATGCTAATCTTCTCTGTATCGTTCCAATTTTAACGGATGTCCCGAAGGACGAAAAGGATAGGCTGCCATACTGTATATATAGACTGAATCCAAGCCGCGCTGGCCAGTTATGGGTTCTGTTTAGCAGCTGCTGCCCTTGCGGGCCCCTTCTTTCCTCCCGTGAAAGAGAAGGGATAAAGCGAGCAGGCCCAGGGCTAGTCCACTGGCGGGGGGTTAGACTTGGTGTAGAGTACGTACTACCAGTAGTGCCTGCCGTCCCGTGGCTGCACTTTGGCCACGTTGAAAAGTACACAAGGTTGTCTGGGGCTCGTGAGAGGGGTCTCTACATTGATTTGTATGACTGGGGACCTGTAAAATCAGGCAGCATAACATGTTTAAAAAAAAAAAAAAAAAAAAAGTACTGCAAAGGAAGACCACCCCCCTTTAGTGCTCGCTTTCACCGTCAGGAGGTGGGACTTGGTGCCCAAAAAAAAAAAAAAAGTACTGCAAAGGAAGACCACCCCCCGTTAGTGCTCGCTTTCACCGTCAGGAGGTGAGACTTGGTGCCCACTCTCCACTGTCAGGAGTTATGCCCTCAGACTCGTGGGGAGGTCCCAGTTGCACGGATCAAAGAAAAAATCTGGCTGTTGATTATTTACAGGCAGGAGACTGCTGTTCTGTCCGCGCAGGGGAGAATTGAAGAGAGGGGAAGGGTGGGAGGGAGTCTGGAAAGAGTTAGGACCTAAAAAAAATGGAAAAAAAGAAAGAATGCGTATACATCAGGCTAGAATTTGCAGGCGATCCAGCCGCCTAGCTGAGTTGGTTAGGCATGCAAGTGGCATTCAGGAGGTTATGGGTTAAAGCCCCATGGCCGCCTGCGGCGCACTTAGTGCCAACGAACTGTGATAATCCTCTGGATACCCCTGATCGGTATTAGCGGGGTCTATGACACGGGTGTGTGTGAGCGCGAGTGGGTTGTGTGTGGTGTGTGGGAGAGTGTTGGCCATAGCCTCTGCTGCTACTCGATGAGGGGTAGGGGACGATGAGAAAGGGAGGCGCAGCTACTGGCAAAATGCTCGGTCTTTGCGTTAGCCGGACCCCCACTGGCGGCCCCACCCCATCGCTGACTACCGCTGTTGGGGTTGGGGGGCAACATGAATTACCTCGTTTGCGAGGCCTTGTGCTTGCAGGGTTCCCCTCTATATAGTCGTAGGAGTAGTGGTAGGAAGGTAGTGAAAGGCAAAAAAGAATTTGAGAGCAGAACATAGTGTGGTCGTG